CATCAATGACTCAGTTGCACGGCTTAACGGTGAAACGATAACAGAGATAATAACTTCTACATTGAAAAATTAAGTGGCTGGTTTTGGGACTGGCCGGAAACCATGATATGCCCCTTGCTATGAAAGAGAAGGAGAAAAAATTATCCTTGAACTTTTATTTTTTTTAATTTTATTTATGTATTGATCTATTTTTTTTTTTTTTTGGTAAGGTCAAATTTCATTAACAAATTGTTGGAAATCGTCTAGCACAAGTTGATCTATATCAAGATAGGTTAAACATGCACTGAAAGTTACAAATGTACAATTTAATAGATACAATAGATTCGAAAAATTACGAGCAGATCTAAAAAGTACAAAAAATTTTAAAATTGTTTTCTAATAAATAGATTCGAAAAATTACGAGCAGATCTAAAAAGTACAAAAAATTTTAAAATTGTTTTCTAATAGATAAATTGTTGCAGCTTCCATTTGTCATATTGCAATCGCTAGATCTACTAATCAACAGTTTTAAGTTCTAATAATGATGGTGAGATCTGTTAAAATAGATCCAAAATCCAACAAAATTTCAGATATGACAATTAAATCTAAAATAAATTCAGATCTAAAAATGAAAAAAGAGAGAAAAAAACACAAAAATCTTCGTAAAATTCCCTAGAAGAATAGAAAATTCTCACTATGAATCCCTAGGAGAAGTAAAAAACTCTCACTAAGAAAATTTAGGAGTATCAATAGCCACATGATAATTCAACTAATTGAATAACAAGGTTTTGTGATAATTCTTACATGGGGATGATAATTGCATCTATTAAGGGCCTTATGGTGTTAATAATTCAGTTTGTTTCAGCTTATTGTTAACTTATTGACTAAAATTTCATATGTGAAATTAATTCTTATCGTTATTTGTCTCTTAACTATCAATTCTAGTATTTTCACGCTTTGGCCAATGACTTAGGTCACGTATAAAGCATATATTGACAAATTATGCTGGCTATTTTTAAAGAAACAACACCATATATAGAAGCCACTTTAAATTTGTTTATATAAATTTAACATGTGTGTCTAGACATGCTTCCAAAGGATGAATAGTTGAAAAAAGATTTCATTGTTGAAGAAAAATTCAATTTTTGATTTAATTTATCTACCCCATGCTTGGAGTGAGGGATGATACGCCTTACTTATGGTGACTGCATATAAAGTTTTAATTTTGTTATTAACAAAATTCTCAAAAGATTTTTAATGCATTAAACTCCCAAACAATTAGATTCAGAAATTCAAGGACCGAGTCTGCAAATACTTAATTCTCTAGCAGGCTAGATAAAGTGACAATTTAGAGACTTTTTTTCCTTTCTTTCCTCTCTTTTTCTTCCTCCATGATACGACGGCTCCACCTACCACTGCTGCCACTACCTTCGGCTGGCACTTCCGCCGCCGCTGCCGCCTCCCTTCCCCACCCCCCCTCTTTTTATTATTCACTCTCTTCCTCCCTCCCTCTTACCCCTCCTCCTCCCTTCCTTGCTTCCTTTTCCCCCGCCCTACCCTCTCCCTCACCCCGCCCCATCCCCTTTCCATGCAACCTCTAATCGCGCAACCAGAGATCATGGGAGGGGGGGATGGGAAGAGAGAGAGAGAGAAACGGGATGAAGGAGGGAGAGCGAGAGAGCAAGAAAAAGGGAGATGACAGTGACGGCGAGGTGGCGGCAGTAGTGGTGGACTGAGGTGGAAGAGTGGTGATAAAAGAGGAAAATGGTGTGTGTTTGTAGATGTTTTGGGGTGTGCATTTTAAGAACTTTTTGTGTTTTTACAGGTTACTATAGATAAATTATTAAAAATTTTGTACAATAAAAATGCCACTAAAAGCATGGGTGCCAAATGGAGACCAAGTTAGTAACAACCAAAACGTGTTGCAATTCTTCAATAACAAGTTTTCCATCTCTATATAAAGATCAAGGGTATGTTTGATTGGGTGTAAGATACTTTTCCTGGAAAATATTTTCCAAAGTAAATTTTTTCAGAGAAAATAAATGCTTTCCTATTCATTTTCTGGTGTTTGGTTGACTAGTTTGGCCTAGTATTTAAACCTGTTAGATCCCGAATATCCAACCCACGGCAACACCTTGCGTCCCAGTATACGTTTTGCTCCGTCATGCCAGCAAAGCTGCCTACCGTCCGTATTCTTTTTTCCCCTTGTTACCACAGTTGCAAAAACCTCCTCCCAGTCCCACTATCACCACCATTGCCACCACTTCCTCCTTGCCAGCCCCAGCACCATCCCTGCCGCACCCTCGCGGCAAAAGAAATTTATCATCAATGGGGGAAGTCTTATGAAACAACAAGAAGTTTTTCAAAAGGAGTATCGGATTAGTTCGTCAATAAATTAGTATTGGATTAGTTTTTCAAAAGGATTATCGGATATTGCAGAAATTAAGATTCATCGAATTAGTTCGTCAATAAAGGAGCATCTTTTCTCAAAGATCCATACTCCAATATCAAATCGTGATCAGATAGCTAATCAAATCCAGAATCTGCTTGTGAGATGTAAAAGTTGCCCTTGATTGACAAAGCAAGATTTTGGGCGTTTAGAGAGAGATTGCTATGGAAAAGTGCCGATGAGATCACCAACGAATTATATAGGTAAAGATTGTGTGACAGATTGAGTTCTTAACGATGGTCTTTGAAGGGTAGTAGACGCATCATTGTCCGTTCTTTAAATGAAGTCGCAGAACGCGAGGAAAATGACTTCAGTATGGCGAGAAAGGAAGTTGTTTTACAGCCGTTGGTGTAAAATGTTTTCCGACAGAAAAGATTTTCCCATACACTTATGCAACCAAACATTGGAAATTCCAGAAAATATCTTCTGGAAAATATTTTCAGTCCAATCAAACAGACCCCAAATGGGTCTTAATTTCCTACAAAAAATTATATATTTTATACTTAGTTTATAGGGATAATTTAGAAACCTCTCCTGAGTTTTCGAACAATTTCACTATTCTTCCGCGAGGTTTCTGAAATATCGAACACCTTCCCTGTTAGGTTGTTGGGGCCCAAATCGTACTCTTTACATGGTGAAATGACTTAATTACCCTCACAACTTATCACATATTTTGTAATTATGTTGACAGAATTAATTAAATCATCAGTAAGTAGGCTTAACTAATTTAACTACTATTGGGAAGTTAAATTAATTTCTAATATGCCATCACAAAAAGGGCGCCAATAGGCTTAGCTTAATTAATTTCCCTTTGCAATGCTAAATGTATTTCTCCTCTTTGGCTGCTCACCTATTCATTTGTAGGACCTTCGTACCATTGAAAGTATCTGCAATTTGAACAACAAAAATACAGCTTATGTGGATTCTTTTCACTCTCAAAAATTTTATTCTTGTGATTACAGCTGCAACATCTGTTTCTAATTGTAAATGATGTTGGTGAATTCCAACTTTCTCCTCTATTGCTTGAACAAGTCATTTGGCCAACAGCCTCTTGGGCTATTGGTTAAATGTCTTGGTGGGGTTGGGAGGTCAAGGGTTCAACCATTGCCTTACACCTTGCCACTTAATTGTGGCTTCCTCTGACGAGATAATTCCGTCGGCTCCCCCTCCCCTTAGACTAGCCTAGAGTAAGTTATACAAATGTTATCGTTACGACAAAAAAAAAAAAAGAGATTGAACAAGTCATCTGTGTGTGTTTCTAATTGTTGCAGCTGCTCATTTCATTCATAGAAATGTGTTGCTTTAGCTCATCCAATACCAAACTCTTAAATTGTTCTCTCTTGCTGCTTGATTTTGTTGTTATATAGAGTCTCATGCAATTACTGTTACAGATAGACATTAGAAATGGCCGCAAAAAAGTCGTTGGTTTCCAATTTTCTAAACTTATGTTGAAATCTTGCCTTTGCTATAAGTTCTACTTACACCCCTCCACTTTATTTAGTGTTCAAATAGCTATGTACTATTCATATATAATTAACTCACAAATGTAACACTAGAGGGCAGTTGTGGAACCTTTTGTTTTCTCTCTCCTGATACTTATTATTTTTATTTTTGAATTGGACCAGATTTGTTATCACCTACTTAGTTTTGGGGGAGGCGTATGATATTTTAGAAACCTTAGGAGAATGTAGTGCCTTGAGGTTTCTAAAATTACCTAGTTGATATTGTAAAAGTGCACTGATTTTTTGTTCCAAGGCTTAAGAAACAGGTGCAAGTTCTTTTAAGCATTACCGCTCTATTTTATCCTCAAGGATATTGTTGCACTAGTTAAGTGACAAATATAGCCTTAAAAAAAGTATATATAATGCATGACTCGGTTGTAATTCTCTTCTACTTGCACACATATTAAAAAAATTTCCCTTTATTTCTATTTTCCAGCAATCTTAAAACTACACATTTGAAGAACTTGAACATGGCTAGTTTTTTGAAAGAGTTGGCAACCAACATCGTGAATATGGAGATGGAGGAAACTTCATACATTGACAAAAAAGGGTGAAGGTTGTACATGTTGTAGAGCTAAAAAATTTCTGCTGAAAAGCCACAGAAGATAAATTTCGTAAAATCAATGTACATAGGGAGGCAATTTACACACATAAAAATATGTGTGGGAGAAAAGGAATAATACGAACAATAATCTATTAATCACATTATCAGAACAATACTCTTAATCCTTTACTCTTCTCAACTAATACAATAATATGACTTCCTATTTATAGACTAGATGACTTGATAAACAAATCTTACAACCATAAGAAATTTCCTGATAAGATATTAATTCTTAAATAATAAAAATACCATAACTTGAAACAAATAGAATTACTAAAACACTACTAAATAATAATATAAAAATTTCTAATTTTGAGCCTTGATTTAATATACCTACACATGTCTTGACAACACCAAAATTTAGCACATAAGGAGACCCAAAAAAAAAAAAAACTCTTAAAGAAACTAAAGAGAAGCAGAAAGGGATAGTGATTATTAAAGTTGTAGAGGCCACATCCTTAATGAAATGGGTTATGAACTTTTTGATGTTTACCACGTGGTATTAGCTATAAATGAATTTTGGGACAACTGGAATCCAAATACACGCAAGAGGATACTATAATTTAGAAGTTCCTTATTTCTTCTTTTTAATAATTATAAAATGATAGATGCAAGATGATACGAATCCCGATGATTATGAGATTCGCGATAACGAACCCCGGATTAATGGTGATAATCACAAGTTTGGAATTGGTGGAATTTTCCTATTCAGACCTATGTGATTGGAACTTTGATACAATTTCTACGTCTAATCCTACAAATTAGCGAACCCTAGAAACATTAGAAGGCGTCACAATCAAGGTGTTCAAGAAAAGCAGGTAGCGCCAAGAGAGAAATCTCTCAAGAATGATTGCTCTGTAAAATGTCGTAGTTTCCCTTCGAAAAAGAAAGCAACGATATTTCAATGAGTCTTGACATAACAATAATTAACGTAACTAGGCCCAACCAAAAGACACAACTAGAGGATTTTGAAACCTAGCCCATAACCTAACTTAAAGTCACGGATCCAAGCAGAAGGGCTGGACCGTTTAACTAGTGACTTACACAAGCCCCGCATAATGTTTAACTATGGATTAAGCTAATGACATTAACTGATAAAAAACATAAGCTGGAAAATTCAGTCCATAAAATCCTTTTTTCAAACGACCTTGAGCAGCTCTTTTAGTGGAGAACTCCAAGTCACTAGGCCTATTATGGCACAATTTGCAGAAATTCTGAGAAAATTTTGACCGTTAAACTTAATACAATATGCATATAGATGAAATCATTGTTGTGAGTTCCATAATAGACAAATTGCTTCTAACATAGAAAGATTTCAAGAAAAGTTTGAAATATAAAGAAAAAATATATCTGTCATGAAAGTGTTGCCAAGTCCTTCGGAGTTGAGGAATTTCCCATGCCAAGAGGAAAGATTCTCAAACACAAGATGAGAACAAAGATTCTTCTACCAAAATACATGCGATTGAAGAGGGACTTCGAGCAAGTCTCGAGGCAAGAAAGATGATCAGTCCAACAATCACTAAAGAATCGAGAAAATGAACAAAATGAAGAAGAGAGGAAACTGCTTCTATTGCAACAAACCTGCACACTGCAAATCCAAATGTAGACTTCTTAAGAAGGCTAAAAATGAGAGTAAAAGACTTTCAATAATGCAAGTAAAGGGCTGAATGCAATGACCTTCGAGGTGAACCTTATGGAAGATGACTTCGCTTAGTTGGTTAATAGTGGGGCTATAAAGAATGTATGCAAAAATAAGGAATTCTTCAAATCTATGAAACCAACTCAACATAGAACCTATGATTTACATGGGAATTTCAGCCACGGCTCCCACTGCAGGAATAGGTGAATTTGAAGTTGGAATTTACTTGCCAAAATATTGTTACTCTTAGTAATGTTCTTGATGTCTTGAAAGTTACCAGGAATTTTGTTTCATATGGTCCGTTAAACAAGTTTGGTTTCAAATTTCTATTTGGTACTTCGTAAAAAAAAAAATATATATCTATTTGATACTAATAAGTTTGTACTTACTACAAGATGTATGTAGCAACTTTTGTTTTTTTCTCCAGTAAGGGAGAGATGGAACTTAAAAAGCGGAGAGTGGGCAGAGGTATTTGAATCCAAGACCTCTAATACCTGGGGCTAGCATGTTAAAACTTAAATCTACTAGCAATCTGCAATAATAATAATAATAATAATAATAATATTTTTGGTTACATGGTTGAGTCTTCTTAAGTAGCCAACACAACATGCAAAAGGCTGAAAAAGTTTTGGAATTACAATGGCGCTTGAATTGAAACAGAGAGAGCTTGACTCTGCTCAAAAAAGCAAGGAAGGCTGTTCTAAAAAGCCTGATTCAATAAATCCAATCCCATCCTAGGAAAGGGCAAAGAAAAGAAGGAAAAGTGGAGACAAGGGCGCATATGAGAATGACTCAGAACAACATGCTGCCATTGATCCCATTGGATCAGATTCAGATGATTCAGGTCATTCAGGTACGGGATTCGATCTAAATCAGGCTGCAGGGCAGGCTGCTGGTGCACCACATGGAGGTGCAGAAATGGTTGAAATGATTGATGATTCATGTCCAGAGTTCTTTCAGTTGCCCGATCCAGAGTTCAATGATTTCGACAAGGGTAGAGAAGAGAGCTGTTTTGCAGCTAATCAGTTCTGGGCTTGTTATGATGATGTAGATGGCATGCCAAGATTTTGCGCTCAGATCAAGAAGGTACACTCTCCTGGATTTAAAATACTCATCAATTGGCTAGAGCCTGATCCAGATGATCCACATCAGATTGATTGGGCAGAGCAGTTCCCTGTTGTATGTGGCCTCAGAAATCCAGAGGTTATTCTGAGTCGCCTTACATTCTCCCATCAAGTGCTTTGTGATAAACACATGGATAAAGTTTCATGATATATCCTAGAGAAGATGAGACTTGGGCACTCTTTAAGGACTGGGATAGTAAGTCGATTACTGACGCAGGTAATCATAAGAAATACAAATATGAAATAGTGCAGAATGTTTCTGATTTCGTGGAGGGTGCTGGCATCAGAGTTGCATTTTTAGGAGAAAGTAAGAGGTTTTGCAAGCTTGTTTCAGCAAAGAAGCCGAAATCTGGCTCAATTTCTGTTTATACCGTCCAGTGACCTATTCAGATTCTCCCATCGTGTTCCTTCTTTTAAAATGAGTGGTACTGAAAAAGGAAGGTGTTCCAGAAGGGTGTTTTGAACTTGATCCTGCATGTCTACCTTCAAATCCTGATGATATATGTTACCCTCTCGGAGTTGAGGTTGATGATAAAAATTTCAGTACTGAATCCAACTGTTCATGTTCGGAAGCATCCCAAAAAAAATGAGTTAAAATTATCTGAGAGTGAGATCAAGCCCAAAAAGTTTGTGGACAGGAAAAGTAGTTTTGTTGGAGAGACATGTATAGTTCGCTGGTCACCTAGAGGTTTGAAGATTGCGGAGAAAGAGAGAATCCATGCCAGTGCCAATAATGCGTCCCTTCAAACAGAAACTGTGATACCTATGAATGGTAAAGGAAGCAAAAGTCGGAGTGAGTTTTTTCTGTTGAAGTCTGATGTTTCAGTTTCTAAATCCGACAAGCAATTAGATCTGAGGGGATTTTCAGAAGATTTTCACGACTTCAAGGAGGAAAGATCTGAAGGGAAGTTTAGACAGGGTCAGATATGGGCACTCCACGCGCCAGAGCATAAATTGCCTAAAATGTATGGTCAGATTAAGAAAATTGGACGTTCCCCTTTCACGTTGTACGTTGCAGCGCTTGAATCTTCCTCGGTGCCTGAAAAATGCCACCCAGCCTGCTTGTGGAGCATTTTGTAGTGAAAAGTGTTAAACTTCAACCCTTGGAAACCTGCTCCTTTTCACATTTGTTGAAGGCAGACTTCATTGGTAAGAACAGGGTTGAAATGTATCCCAAGGTGGGAGAGGTTTGGGCTCTGTACGGAAAATGGGATGCTGAATCTTCATTATCTGAGCTGCAAAATTGTGAATGTCGTGTGGTAGAAATCATAGACAGCACTGATGGTCATTGGTCACGCTAAGGTTTCACCTTTGGTACCTCTAAAGCCTTGGGCCATTTACAGCGTAGAGTATAATGAACGTACCACGTCAGCATTCTATCATCTTCTCTTTTATTATACTCTTATTCACAATGGATTATACTTCACACGATATAATAATATGGGTCCACAATCAAATCAAACATTTATTTTAATAATTCACAACTCATATCCCATAAATAAATTAAATAATTTTGTTATTTTTAAAAATAAATTATTAACTTTCATTAAATTTTTTACCTTTTAGATTTTTTATTTTCTAAAAAATAATATTATTAATTTCTGAGTTTGAACAATATATCTTTTTCTATCTCTTAAAAATAATATATTGTTATTTTCTAAAAACTAATTATGTAATTATTAAACAAGTATGTGATACCTCAAAAAGGGCCCACCGTTCATCTTTTTTAGCAATATTACATGCATCATCAGAATTATCAAACGTCGTATGGTAAAAATAATTATAGCAAACGATAAAATTTGGTGGAGGTCAATTCTTTAAACCACAATGATATAGTTTGGGAGATTGTTGATGAGTGAAAGTGCATTAATGGAGTTTAGAAAAATTTTCTTTTTTGTGTTGCTTTTTACTAGTACTATTGTGTGTTTTAACTGAAGTAGGAGTATAAATGAGACTAATTGAATTAATATTCAACTAATTCTACATTAAATACAATTAAAATAAGATTGTGAAGTTTTTGTTTAATTAATTGACTATTTCATTAGCCAAAGACCAACTATTAGGGGTGGGCAAAAAAACCCGCCGATCCGAAAACCCGATGAACCCGATCCGATCCGATCCGAAAAATAGGATACCCGATCCGATTTTTCTTAGCGGGGCAGATGAGGGTCGGGTACCCGAAAAATCGGATACGGATACGGATCAGAAAAATAAAAACCCGCGGGTACCCGACCCGCAGGGTATATTTTATAAATATTAAAAATGTAGGGATCATTTTATAATTTTGTAATTTTTAATCCTAAGTGCAAGTGAAGTGGCTCGCAGCCTCATATTCTAATCCTATATGATCTACTCTTCTCATTTTTTTTGAAGAAAGTGAATATTCTCGGTGAAACATGAACAAAATGAAAAAAAAAATTTGTGAAACTATGTTATAAAAATTGTTCATCCCTTTCATCTTTTTTATTTGTATTCTACCTCCATCGATCTTTCCTGCAAATCTTGCATCAATTCAATCAAAGATTTTTGTTTGGAGTCTCAATTTTCTGTTAGCTAGATAATTAAAATATTTGTGTCATTCATTTGCAATTATATCTCTTAAATTTGTCTCTTTTATTTAGTGTAAGAAATTTATTTTTCTTTTTCATCACCTTAATACCATAAGGTCTATTCCAAAGATGTAAAAAAGTTGGGGAAGATTTTTAACATTATTTTGGTTATATTTTTTTCAAAAATAATTAGTTCTATTCAATTCTTTTCCGAACTTGATTTCACAATTGACTTATTTGAGATGCGGTCTTGTACCATAATATCCTTGGGGAAGTTACCAAATACTTATTATCCTTGTGTTTGTTGTGTTGTAGAAGTATGAAATGTGTGAAAATGGTGATGTACTCAAAATTATTATGAAACTTCGTTTTGTCCATTAGATATTCTAATATGTACTAAATTTATGAGATCGATTTGATTATTGGATGAAATGTGTGAAAATGGTGATGTATGGACTTTAATTACAATATCTCTACCAATATTAATTGGAAAAGCATGTTTTTTTATTGAAAAACATGTTGATATTAAGTAGAAAATAAATTTTTTTTTATTGAAAAATAGTTTTTTTTTAGGGACGGGTACCCTATGACCCGCCCCTTTTTTTCGGGTACCCGCTATTCGGGTACCCGAAAATATTAGGAGCGGGTTAGGGTCGCAAAATGGCTGATCCGATATATTAGGGTCGGGTCAGCCAAATCATGTTAGGGGCGGGTACCCGACCCGTGCCCACCCCTACCAACTATTACACTTGCCATAGTTAGTGTGCACCATAATAAAATTATTCGGCATTGAATTAAAAAAAGCCTTTTTTTTTACTATTATCTTTGCAAGTAGTGATATAGAATTCTGATTCCAAAAGTAGAATTGATCAAGTTTTTTTTTTTCTTTTAAGGTGTGTCCCGTGGGGAGTAGACCCCGCACACTATTCACCACCCCCAACAATTTCCTGGCAGCAAGGTTCGAACCAGGGACCTGAGGCTCCATTTTCAGTAACCTCAACCACCAGACCAACCCCCCAAGGGCTTAGAATTGATCAAGTTTAATAAAAAGGGAAAATGGCCATTTTCGTCCCTAAACTTTTTTTTCCCGTCAATTTAGTCCCTAACTTTTATTTTTGGCCAATTTAATACATGAATTTAATTTTTGGATCCAATCAAGTCCTTCTACGGCGGCGCCACCACCTTTAGCTCCTAATTTAACATTAAACAAGGGCATTTTAGGAAATGCAAATTATCTCTTCTCTGCTACCAACCTCTGCCACCAACATCCCATCTCTTCCTTCATGATCGGCGATTTTGGAATACCAGCAACACCAGTAAAACATAAACACTAAAATATTTTACTGGGAAAATTGCCATTTTGTTCATGCTCAGGGGGTCATGTTGTTTCAAGTTCTGCTGAACAGATGTGGATGTACAGAAAGCTAGAAGCAGAGCTGCATTCTGGACCACGAAGCATTCCACGTATATCTGCACCAACTGTTGGGCCTTCTATTGCACCACCACTACCAGTTCAAGCGCCTTATTTCCGACCTCTTAATTTTCCACCATATAGTTCATGGGATGTGCGTGGTTTGAACAACCATATGCCTAGAAATCCAATTTCACCTCGTGTAATGCCGGATGTTCATCTCGTGTAAAGCCATCTTTCCTTGAGCAAACTTACAAAGATGAATCTCCGCTGAACCCTCTTCCAAAGTAATTGGCATCGCCGCTGCCGCTGAACCCTCTTTGAAATCTCAAAATCGTGAGTGACTCTCTCTCAAAGCTGAATTTGTTCTCTTTGATGCATTTGACCCGAATATATAAGAAAATTCCTTCGTGCAATCTGATGATAGTGTTGAACAAAAGGAACAATCAGATGGCTCTGGTTCTGATTCAGAGCATCGTGGGATTCTGCTGCCTGGAGGCCACCTTGTTGTAAAGCTTTTGGAGAGTGAAGATGTTAAAGGTTGCTTTCCTGTTACTCAGAGCAGTTTATTCTTATTGGTCTGAAGTAATTTGCGTGTAATATACTTATTATCATTTGCTTTGCAGATTTTAGCCACATCTGCAAAACCCCTTTTCAAAAAAGCAGCATGGTTGAGACCTAAAGCTACAAGGTCATGCTCCAGAGAAATAAAAAAGCTAGACCTTTAAGGGCTGAAATATTGGGGAACCATTCACCTACATTTGCAGATTTCCTCTTCTACTTTCTCAATTATAATGTAAACTCAAAGGTGGATGGAAAGAGAAGGAGAAGAGATGAAGGAGGAGATGGGTTTTTGGTGGCAGAGATTAGTAGCAGAGAAGAGATAATTTGCATTTTCCAAAATGCCCTTGTTTAATGTTAAATTAGGAGCTAAAGGTGGTGGCGCCGCCGTAGAAGGACTTAATTGGATCCAAAAATTAAATTCATGTATTAAATTGGCCAAAAATAAAAATTAGGGACTAAATTGACGGGAAAAAAAAGTTTAGAGACGAAAATGGCCATTTTTCCTAATAAAAACTACTCTAAATATATTTCTGTTATATATATATATATATATATATATATATATATATATATATATATATATATATATATATATATATTGAACTCTACATAGCTTCTTATCTTTATGGATTGGTGTTTACCTACCGGATTTCGAACTAAACATGTTTGGATAGTGTATTATTTGAAATATTATTTGGAATAATTATTGTAGTACTTTTTGTAATATGATGTATGTGAGATAAAAAGGTGATTGGGAATATAAAAAGGTAGGTTGGAAAATGTGTTTGTGATGCAAGCGAAATATTATTTGGAATAATTTTGGTATCCAAACACTCCAATCATTTTTCTAATTTTACTTTGCAATGTTACCAATCCGGGCTTGTAGCGAGCGTACCCGACCCGTACTCTTTCCTCAATTTTTATCCTTCAGTTCAAAGTCTAGTTTTCTCGTCAAAGTCAACTGCAGAAGTCTTCCCTCCCAAAGTCAAACCTTTGGCAGAACAGTCAACACTTCAGTGCTAGTTATTTTATTTCTTTCCTCCCATAATCTCCCTTGCCTTAGCTTAGCAGTCAAAGCGCCAACTGTCTCTCTTTTACAGTCTCCTCTGAAGTATTTGTTGAGTTGGGCGTAGGCTTCCATTGCTCTTCCTGTAAGAATTCTTGACTTCTTTGTTGCTGCTAACTTGCTATACTAAATGCAATAAAAACTCCTGTGCTTCTTGTTCTTTTAAGTTTTAAGCTTTTCGGGAGCATGTTAATCTCTTGTTTGTCTGCTTTGCTTGTTTTCTTGAACTTTATGATTCTTGTTTATCATGATTTTCTGTTTGGATTGGATTTGGTTAATTCATTCCCACGCTTTACTAGTTGTATAGAGAAATCGTATAGGCACAACATAAATATTTTAGTCAAGAACTGTCATTCAGTGTGTGGCAGATCATTGTATAGTTCCTTTTTTCCTTTTATGGTCTGCTATTAAGATCGTTGATTTCTCTCATTAGAACCTGCTTTTGAGTTTTTCTTTTTGATATATTGCTTATCTAGTATGGTCACAGAAGTGAGTTTGATAGATGAAGATCTCAACTGCATAGTGCTCATGCAGTCTATGTTTTGTATTTATTACTGTATAGTGTATATTGGCACTGGGATTATTTCAACTACTCAATTTTGATAATTGAAATTAGATTTGGGAAACTCTAGTTCAAGTGACTGTCCTCTTTTTCCATTCAAAAAATTAGGATTGGAAATGCAATAATTGTCTTGATTGTTGACTTATAAATGTAAAGGGTGTTGTATGGAAATTACACTGGCATTTAGCTTAGGTTCAATTCCAGGGTAGAAAAGAGTTGGCAGATTCAGTATCATTAGTTATTAACAGAAGGAGTTAAAGCTGTAGAATCATTTTGTCTACCAGCTAGTGTTGAGTTTAGATGAGGTATTGAGAATCTTTGTTCTTCAAATTGCTTGGTATCTTTGTCTCACATAACAAAAGGGTGGTAATATACCAAAAAATGTGGGTGCAACAGAAATTTGATACTCGTAGTCTGCCTTGTTTGATCCAACTTCTAGGGGGAATGATAAATGCCTTCCTTGCTGCTTGTATTAAATGAAAGAATGCATTGAATCAATTCTATCACTGTCCTATTCCATATTTGTTAGCTCAGCATTTTAGCTCCTTTGAGATCTAACATCTTCTGCAGTCGGGGAATAGAGCAGCAACATTACTTCTCATTGTAAGTAATTTTTATAGCTTAATGATGTTTTTCTCCTTTTCCCTCCATGCTTTCTCTTTATAACATTGCCATCTGCCTAAGCCACCAGCAGTGCCTTGAAGCTTTTACACATTTGGCTTGCTCCTTAACCTGCCCAAAATCAATTTCTCCATTGTTATCTTCATTATGTTCCCTACCTGGTTTGCAGCTTCTTTTATTAACATCTGTGCTGCCACTGCTTTTGGATCAAAAGCAACTACATCAATGAGATTAATGCACGATGTGAGTGGTGACCAGTGTTATCCGTAACAAACATGTTTTTAGCTATTCAAGGAAACGATCGGGGAGAATTATCCATTTGGTCAAAATACTGAGGAAAGGCACTGCAACTGCGTCTATATGTGTTGTGAGTAAAATGTTTTCTGCATTGATACTTTTTTCTATACTCTCTTTGGGAATCCCCACTTGATATTTCTGTTAGCTCTTTTTCTTTTTGCGGAAAGGAACAGGAGAATGGCAAACTCTGCTGAATGTTTTCTGAGGACTCTTGTTGTGATCGGAATTCTTAGCCAAGTGACATCAGATGCCTTTGACCACAAATATAATAAAGGTGATCCAGTGCCTCTGTATGTCAACAAAGTTGGTCCATATTGCAATCCTAGGTAAACATTCTTTTATGTTGATTGCAGATCATTAACATTCTCTGCTTGGGTAATGGAAATTTTGAAAACAATTATTGATGAAAACTTTTAAATTTGCTTGATATTTACATGTAGCAAAGATTCATGCCATGGTTACATGCAGAGTCACTTATTTAATCTTTTGTAACATCCTGATGAAAATAGGATGTTTTCCTAGTTGGTTTCATATATTTCATGTGCTTAATTTGTTTTTCCTTTTTCTCATTTGTCACTGTAAGCTATTTCTCTTTTTTTTTTTTTTTTTTTCAAACGTCACTGTAAGCTATTTCTGGATCAGATACCAAATCTAGTCTTCATACCTTCAGAGTTTGTCCCTGTCAGCATGATCTATCAACATCCTGTTCTGAATGTGTGCTGCATATGATTTCTCTTGCTAGCTTGCTCCAAATTTGATTTTTACTAGCAATCAGAGCGTCTTTTAGTTTCCTAAATACTTAGTGGCAAGTCAATATAATTGGTGTTCCTAATTCTTAGTTTCTGGTTGCCTTTTGCTTGTGGTTCGTTTCAGTGAAACTTATCCGTATTACGATTTTCCGTTCTGTCCACCAGGTTTGTCTTGTGCATTATTTATCATCCTACTGTCCTGTGCATTATATGATCTTCATATCTTCTATCACTTTATAACTTCATTCACGTTGAAAGATTTTAGAGTTGAAATATTGCAGATCTCTGGCAAGAGAAGGAGGAATCTCTTGGTGAGGTGTTGAATGGAGATCGTCTTGTTTCTGCTCCATATAAGCTGAATTTCAGGTTAGATAGGGAATCTCAAGTTGTTTGTAGAAGAAACCTGACCAGGAAAGAGGTTGCGCTGTTCCAAACTGCTGTGGCTAAGGACTACTACTTACAAATGTATTATGATGACTTGCCAATTTGGCAATTCATTGGGGTGGCTCAGACAAACAATGTTGACACGTTTAAATATTATCTCTTCACAAAAGTCCACTTTGATATTTTCTACAGCCGAGATCATGTGATTGAAATCAACATGTCAAGTGACTCATCAAACTTGGCTGATTTAACAGAGGACAAGGTTATTGATATTGAGTTCTTATACAGTGTAAATTGGAAAGAAACGGACCTGCCTTTTGATACAAGAATGCAGAAGTACACAATGTTTGCACATTTTCCACTGAACATGAAAAAACATCAGTTTGCAATCACAAATTCATTTTGGACGATTATCCTCTTAGTTGGTTGTCTGGTTGCATTATATGTGCGAGTCCTCAGGAAAGATTTTAATGAGTAAGAAATCAAACCTGAGATAGTCAGGCTTGTGCCTTCTTTATTCTGTAGTGCAACAAATTCTTTCTTTCTGTTAACATTTTCTGTTTTACTTAAGGTATGAAAATGATGAGGAATTGGCTGATAATCAAGGACACACAGGATGGAAGATCATCCATGGGGACGTGTTCCGCTACCCAAAATATAAGTGTTGCTTAGCTGCAGCTATTGGTTGTGGAACACAGTTATTTGCAGTGTTAGTAAAACTGAGATGGCAATATCCAAAAATTATGAGATATGACATGTTGAGTAATCTTGTGGTTATTTCTGATGGTATCTTGTGCATATTGCAGCGTGCTGTCCGTTATCATAGTGGGGGTTGCTGGTGTATTTCATCCATATGACCGTGGAGTTCAGAAGGTTGCATCGGTCATCATTTATGCAATAACTAATGTCATTGCTGGATTCACTGCTGTTTCTTTCTATCATCAACTTGAAGGAAGTTACTCAGTAAGTACTGGTGGTTTATATCCTCAGTTGATACTTGACAATGCCTTGAGAATGTATTACTTTCAATGAGCCTAATTATATACACTAATTTTTTTTCTTACTTTACAGGCGAAGAATCTATTTCTAGCAGGCTCTCTATTCTGTGGTCCTCTTTTCCTTACATTTTGTTTCCTAAACACTGTTGCTGGTATCTACGAATCCACAGCAGAGATTTCCATGGGCAATATTGTGAAGATTCTTCTTATATGGGTTTTCATAGCTTTGCCATTGCTTTTGTTGGGTGGGACTCTTGGGAAAATGACAAAGTCTGAGTTTCAAGCTCCTTGCAGATCCACAAAGTGTCCTAGAGAAATACCACCACTGCGGTGGTACAGGGCTGCTCTTCCTCAAATGGCAATTGCTGGATTTCTTCCATTTAGTGTTTTCTATATTGAGCTATATCCCATCTTTGCAAGTATTTGGGGCTTCAAAGAGTTCACAGCGTATGGAGTACTTTGTGTCTTTTTCATTTTCCTTGTAACTATTACGGCTCTTGTGTCAATTGGTTTGACATACCTTCAGCTTGCTGCCGAAGACCATCAATGGTGGTGGAGGTAAGTATGTAGTTTTTAACGTAATAGATTTTTTGCATTGTATTCTCTTTAAAGAGAAATTCTTTTGCTTTCTTGTGACTGTCAAAGTTTGAGGTCTTGGTAGTGTCTAGAAAACACCTCGAAAGGGAAAAAGATCAAAGGAAAAACAGGCAATGATTATCTTTTCCCCGCATTTGAAGAGTGTGAATAATGTTTGTGTTATTAAACGTTCTTCTGATCTGACAGCAATTTCTCAGTACAAGGTTTTTCATATGCTTGATTTTTTAACCTTCTTGACAACTTTCAATCTGCACGACAATATTTGAATTTGTCATTCAAACCTGCAAGATAATGAATGCACAAACATTCTTCCTTTGTTTTCATAGATGATGTGGGCATCATTCTTCACAAACCTAGTAAAATCCACCGTGTTTTCTGGACTTTGGCGAACTGGTTGATAGCTTTTTAATAACTTTGCGCTGAAAAAGACATTGTTCCTTAAGAACTCTTGTGACAACGCTGATTATCATTCAGATGGTACTTTCAAATCAGCTTTTGAGAAACTTATTATTATTAACTGATCCCCAATGCTTCAACTTGAGCAGGTCCTTTCTTTGTGGTGGCTCAACTGGCTTGTATGTCTACGCCTATTGCTTCTTCTTCTACTTTCAATCAGAAATGAGTGGTTTCTTACAGACCTCATTCTTCTTCGGCTACATGACTTGCAGCTGCTTTGGCCTCTTTCTCCTGCTAGGCACCGTGGGATTCCGCGCCTCTCTAATTTTTGTTCGTCATATATATAGTTCTATCAAGTTTGAGTAGCTGTTCTTGTCCTGTTAAGCTTCTAATCGATCTTTGCTTTGTCATATCTGTCTGTAGTTAAATGTTACACAAAGAGGTTTCAAGTTCTTGTCTTAGAAGATCAGTGAAAATATAGCAAGTGGATAAGAGTCACTTTGAATTATCAGAGTTATTTCCAGAAGAAATGTATCATTTCCTGCATCCATTTGAATGTTTCCAAAGTTAATTCTTCAGTCTAGACTCAAACTCATACTCATGTGTTGATAATTCAAAATTGAAAGCTAAATCAAAATCTAGCCAAAAGTTGGTCAGGAAAGGTTTTAGTTGCTTTCTACCAACTTTATTACCTTTTCAACCAGATTGTAGGAAAAGAAAACTCAAGTTGACGGCTTTTTTTGGGCAAAACTGGTTTCATGTAGTAATCTTGGAAAAGCAACTTGTTTGCCCAAAAAACAAAGTACCCAAAAAAGAAAGACAGAAGGAAAGAAAGAAAGAGAGACAATGAGAAATGGATGAAAAACATCTGGCAAGTTATTCTTATTTTGCCCAATCTTTCCTTTTTCTTCTTAGCAAAAAATTACCTTTGCTTCATTCCTAAACAGCTTCTTAGCAGAGTTCTATGTCTAAGCAGGCACATTGCCATAGGAGAAGCACATTGACAAAATATACAAGACAATTAAGTAGCCAGGTCTTCCTCATGGTAGAACCATATACATATTGAAGCATAGAAACCGACTGTGCCTAATATGAGAAAAGGCCATAACAGATGCAGGCCATGTAGCCAAAGAAAAATGAGGTTTGCAGGAAACCACTCATTTCTGAATCTTGGAAGTAATGGTACAGGCAGAATCCATAGACATAAATGCCAACTGAACCACCATAGAGAAAGGACCTGTTCAAATTAAAAAAAAAAAAAAAGAATTAGGTGAGTACTAGGCCACAATTAAGGAGCAAAAGGTATAATAAGAAAACTCAAGTAGCAGCCATCTTTGTAGACTGAATAGTTAAAGGAAGTAAAGAACAATAAGTCTAGAGATAGCAATAGACATGAATATAACCGTACTAAAGGTGAGTAAATTTGACAGAAGACAGACAATTGGAACAGAATCACATTGTATTGGGGAATAGTATGAAAACCTTTCATGATTTGACATATATATGCTGAGTCAGGTCATTAGTTGGTTTCAAAATGGTGGTTTCAGTAGCTTTATAACATAGTTAGCCTTTTATGTGTTAATTCTAGTCGTTAAATAAACATCCCAACGCACCGAATGCAATGTTAAGTTGTAAGCAAAACAACAAGGAAGAAAATCAGCAACAGAATCTCTAGAACGAAAAAGTGAATCAAATATTTCACAACCATAAGCCAAGAAACCTAAACCAATTACTGTTACAACTAAAAGATTAAGAGCTAGAGATGAAAATGTAGCTCTCTGAAGACAAGGAAAGTTAATTGTCAGTTAGAACGTTGCAGGATAATGGAGATGAAGTTTTGCATTGTGATACGAGGCTGCAAAGTTCCAAACTGACTGATTGTGCAATATGAACGGCATATTACCATTTTAGCAAACTTAAGGTAAATAGTTTAGTTTGACAGCAATAACAATTAGGACTAATTGTCACTTTTAAAAGATTGTGCCCACTAACCAAAGTTTAGTTATACAAAACATAACTTACCTCCACCACCATTCATGATTTACAAGAAGAAGTTGAGCGATTGTCATACCCACAGATGCAAGAGCAGTTACAATTACCAGTAGAATGAAAACAATGAAAAGAATCCCGCAAGTTGTATGTGTTTTATAACCCCAGATGCTGTAAATTATGTAATACAGCTCAGTGTGAATTATACTGAAAGATAGAAATCCTGCCCATGTCATTTGTGCTAGACAACCTTTGTGCCAAGGCGCTGATGGAATCTCTCGTGCAATCTTTGAAGTATGGCAAGGAGCACGAAATTCAGACTTCATGGATTTCCCTAATATTCCACCCAACAGAAGCAGTGGCAAAGCCAAGAATATCCACATAAAGAAGATCACTTGAAGTGTGCTCAAAGGAAGAGCTGCAGTTGAATTATATGAGATGGCAACCGAATTTAAGAAACAAAACATAAGGAAAGGAAAGGAGTATTAATTGCCTCAAGTTTATTATGCTGTAAAATTTAAGGTAGAATGAGGTAGAAACTATTTGTGCATACCCAGTTTCTTCCTGCAAGTTGACGATAGAATGAAACTGCTACAAATCCAGCAACGCCAGATAACTCCTTGATCACATGGATGGAATACGCCAAAAAGGCCTAACGTTATAATGGAAGCCCCACTGCCAGAACGTAGAAGAAATTACTATATGGAGACATTAGCACTTTGGTAAGATTTGACAGGTTTATCTGAGTTTATCAGATGCATCTCAGGAAGTACTAACATTGTAAGCAACTGAATTCCAGAACCAAGAGCTGCAGAAAACAAAGACTTGTATTTTGGGCATCGAAACACATCACCTCCGAGGATCTTCCACCCTGTCTCTACTTGACCTGTTTCCTGATCATTTGCATCTCTTGACAAGATTCAAGGCAAGTAAGTGTATAGATAGAAAAAAATATTACTATTCTAAGCAACAAAGAATTATTTATTTCTTAATTAGAAAACTTCGACCACCTAATGACACCAGATAAATCATTAAGATGAATGAGATCATAATTGACAACCGTTGGACAAAATCGGCAGGCTTCTTGTATTTCTCCTTTCTCTTTTCAAACAGTGTAGCTGTTTCCTTCCACTCCACCGAATATAAGAACTCAATTTCTACATCAATGTCCTTTTCCTCTGTTAATTCAACCACAAGTGATAGGTCTGGTTGGGTTCTGATCTCAATCACACGATCCCCATTATAACATATTTTAAATTGGATGTGGGTGATTAGAAATTGCTTTCTGTCACGATTAACAATCCCTACGAAAGCCCAAAGGGGAAAGTCATCATAGTACATTTGGTAAACATACTCTTCGGCAATAGCAGTTTGAAACTGAAAGATATCTTCTTTTGTCAAATTTTTTTCTACACAAAACTTGACATTGTTTGTCCACAAGGAAGTCGAGTTTATAAGGAGCTTAAACAAGATGATCTCCATTCATTGCCAGGCCAAGGGATTCTTTCTTGTCCTTCACATGATCTGTCAATTTTGTAGACCTATAAGATGATCTAAAAGTTTCGCTGTGTTAAACCGAACAAAACAGTAGTTAGAAAGGAATTAGAGAAGAAGAACTAATGCGACTCATAGTAAATGTATACAAAATCAATGAGGTGGTGGAGCATTTCAGTCAGAACTTGTCCAGTTGGAGGAATAATTTTGAGTTAAGGAGAGATTAGAATTGTTCAGTAGGGCTCAAAGTGGTTAATTAAAGCATTTAGTATTTTTTGAAGTAAACTAAGAAGTTGATTGAGATCGTAAAATTCCATGGTAATGTTCAAAGGCTAGGCTTATAATTCTGAATATATGAAGATCAACACAAATGACCAAATGGGTCGAAGGATTAAAAAAAACTCAAAAATCTAATGACTGAAATGAGATCAAAGTGTAAATTTTCACTTGAACAAAATGCAACTGATGAGCAACATAGTAAGACAATTGCCTTGGGTTTAGATATGGACCAATCTTGCTAACATAGAGAGGAACTGGATGTCCACTTTCATACCGGTGATTAGAGATGTCTGCTCCAGCAGGGTTCCAAATAACCATTCTCCTTGAAACTTAGAGAATGATAATGATGACAATCATTTGCACAGCCCTGGCCATTCTCCTTACTTTTTCCAGAAGATACAAAAAATCTACTTTCTCCAGCCTATTATACATGATAAGTTTGGCATATCATGCAAAAATTAGAAGTATCTTATTGCAGGAGGAAGAAGAATAGAACATGTGAGACACAATGTTTCATATAATGTCAGACAATGTAAAAGCAACATATTATGGCCCCAAAAACTTGAATAGAAGAAGTATCTAAAGCAACAATTTTTTGAGCCCAAGAGTGTCAAGGCTAAGCTATTGACATAAGAAAATCATTGTAAGTAGAGGGAGAGATAAGAGCATCCATTAGGAACAGCCGAAGGTATATATGTAGAAGCATACCGATCACAAATCAGGACAGTGGGACAGAGTCCTTCTGAGGAAGTGAACAACTTGATGACACAGATCCGTTAGTTAGAGGTAGAGTTAGTGAATTATGTCAAGTGCAATCAGTTGGAGATAGCATTAGATATGGCTGCAAGTACACAAAGTTTATTGTAATGACCGAGAAAACAAATGGCATACATAGGGAGGAAATCATGCTCAATCAATCGAAGCGAACAGTTGAAACAAGCAATTCAGCGTATGAGCAACAAGCAAAACGTGATTTCAGTATTAGGTCCTTTGTCATTATAAAATAAATCAAATCATGATTTTGCTGGCTATTTCAAGAAGACTTTCCTTAAAGTTTTATATCCAGAAGTCCGTTTTCATCATAGAAGAGCCTAAATCATGAGGCATATAATTCAGCATGTCTATCACAGGAACCTTTTATCTGATAAAGATGACCATCAGACAATTGGTATCTTCTGCATTTTTTGTGGAAGTCAAAGATATAGCCATTTTGTTCCTTTGCCATTTTGCTGTTCTTGATGAACAAAATGTGCAAGCAATTGTGAGTACGAAAACTAACTCTAAAACAAGTAAAATCCTAGTCTGTGGCTATTCTCATCCTCAGACATCCCTAAAACAACTGGTCACAAATCTGTTTTCCATTTTCATGGTCCTAAAATCCAAAACGGCAGATTAAGAGACTATCCATTGAGCCTAAGTATAACAAATCTCGGTTTAAATTGCTTATGAACTTGAACCACTGGATTGATCACCCTTAAATGATGCAATTGACTTTTTCCTAACATTCAGGCTTGCATAACGGAAATCATTCCTTGGAGCGAAGAAATATCTTGCTATATATATGCACACACATGCATGCTAGCATGCACTGACATCTTTAGAAATTTAGTACTCTTACATCTTTAATTTGTTTCTTTTATCTCCCTTCCAAAAACCCCCTAATTGCCTGTATTTGATAAATCCACTGGTTCCCTGAGGAGATGACCCTACTCTCCACTATACTCATTCAGTTTTGGTAGTAGGTCTAATATAAATTTTATTTTTGGTGGTTTGATACCCACCAATGGTTTACCTGTGTTTAATTAGAATTTATGTGAATAAGATATATTTGTTGTATCTTTGCACATTATGATGTTAGCGTATACATTTATTATATGAGTAAATTTTATATACAGTCAGTGTAAATTTTATACACTAACTTATTGAGTAAATTTTATATACACTATTAGTGTATACACTATCACGATTGAATAGATAATACGTGAGCAAATTTTGAATTTCAAATTCAAATTTTGCACATATATTATATATCTAATAGTGATAGTGTATATATTGACAGTGTATATAAGATTATATTAGTGTCTATATTTGTGTTTCAATTCAATTAACTGACAATTGCAAAAGACTCAGGATCGGAAATAATTAAATTTCATGTTTAGCACCCGCCCCATTTCATTAATTTATTTTTGTTCCTCTATTGCTTTCTCTCTGTTTTGCTTACAATTTACCTATTCATTGGTTCAGTTCACAAAAGTTCTCGAAATCAAACACTGATCCATTCAAAAGGATTGATATATATATATATATATGGAAAAATATAGAGACGTCAAAATCCAACTAGCTAAAGGTTTAGAAAAGTGAAAAGACTAAAAAAAAACCAAATTAAGAAAACTATTTCCCTATTCTCTGTCTCCAAAAATATTTGGAAATCTGAATCCTTGTCTAATTTAGTTGAGATTCCTTGACTTCCAAATCCAAGCATACTTAAATTTAACAACTGATTTTTACATTCCACCGGTTATGTATAAAAACTAATACAGACCTAGTTTCGGGTAGGAACCTCGCGGGGGTGAATATATTCTTGAATGATCGGCGTACAAAATTCACAAAAAGTTGTAACTCATTATTAACAACTTGTACTAACTCGGTAACGGGATAAAACTGCACGATCTTTTAGTCATCTTTTCTAGAGCCAACGTAACCAATAAACATGGAAATTTCAGATTGGTCGGAGCTTCTACCTGATTTGTTGATCATGATAGCCAGACGGATACAACTGATGGAAGATTTTATGGCTTTCAGAGGCGTCTGTACCTCTTGGCGAGCTGCTGCAAGTGTTGATAATTTTGTCAAGTCATGGCCTACAGTTCCATTGGTCATGCTAGCAGAAAAGAAAGACACTGATTATCGCGAATTCTACAGTCTATCTAGGGGCAAGATTTGGAGAAGAATGCCACTACCCGAAGCAAAAGGCAAAAAATGCATCGAGTCAAGAGGATGGCTGATCACAATATCAAGTTCAGGAGATATGAGCTTGTTGCATCCCTTTTCGCGGGCTCAAATTGAACTCCCAAATCAATCAACATTCCCTGAACATGATATTAATCCTGATCCTTTCTTTAATGTAACGAGTGCTGTTTTATCAGCCAGTCCATCAGAGACATCAGATTTTGTTGTGGTTATAGTTGGAGGTGGTGGTCGTTTTCTCTTGTTATGGAGGCCTGGAGACATGTCCTGGACAAGAATAGAATCAGCACAGTATGGTGCCTTCAATGATGTTTATTTCTACAAAGGAAAAATTTATGCCATCACATATGGAGGACATATTTGGGTATGGGATATGTTAGATCCTCCAGAAGCTCAATATTGTTTTACGATAAATAGGGAATTGATCGACTTTCGACGGTCACGTCTAGTGGAATCAGCAGGTAAGTTATTTGTAGTTGCAAGGGACGGGGCTGAATATGATGACGATGAGCAAACTTACGGTGTTATGAATTTTCGAGTTGTGCAGCTAGATTTGATCAAGAGGGAATGGAAAGAGATTGATAATTTGGGAGATATGGCTATTTTTGTCGGGCATAATGGCGGATTCTCGCTTGATGCCACTAGATTTCCGAGTATAATCAAGCCGAATTGTATCTACTTCACTGATGATGCGATAGAAGCCTAT